GAAGGCACCGGCAGGGTGGGACGGCCAGGGCCGGGAGCGCAGCCCGGGGGTCCCAGCTCCCGGCTGCCGTCGGGGCCCCGTGTCCAGCCGGCTTCCCCCGAGCCGTGCGGGCTCCAGCGCCTCTCGTGGGTCTCCGTCTGGCCCCCAGAGCCGGCCAACAGCCCCGGGGGCTCCGCGGGCCTCGGCAGATGCTGCTGCAGGGACCCCCGGCCCATCGGGACCCCGGCCCTGTATCTTGAATTAAATCTCGAGGCAGGGGCAGGCGGGGGCGTTCGGGGAACTGCAGCCCTGCTGCTGCTGTCAGCGCTATTTGAGTACTGCTGCCGTTCCTCTGTGCTACTCACCCCTGCATGCGACAACAACGAATTAATTTATGCTCTGTACTTCACTGCCTGCCCACATAACCTGTTCCATATGGTTACTGCGACTCGTACGGAGCAGTTCCGCGCGGATTTGTTCTGCTTGCTCCACGTTTCTTCAATTTAAGATTACGCCACTCGCTCTGTGGAACACTAACGGGCTGAGCCCCCGTGATCTGCCCGCTGCTCCCTGCTGTTAGCGAGTTGTCATTTGCTCAGACATCATCTCGGTGCGTGCAGTGCCAGCGAGCTGGTGACACGCGGCAGAGCGGGGGCTGTGCCCGGGAGCCGCCTCTCCCCTGCCGGGAGGGAGCAGCGGGCACCGGAGCGCACCGAGATGCTGCGCGGTCCCGGGGCTGGGCGCCTCCATCCCTCTCCCTCTTCCCCGAATTCCTGCCGGGAATCCCGGGGCAGCCGTGTCCCTGTGCACACCTGCGCTCTGGGGAGCCCCGGCCGACACCAACGGGGCCCCAAAAACAATCAAAAATCCCAAATCTAAACCCTCCCCGTTTCCTGACGTGGCTTTTGGTCCGGCCATCCTTTGTCCGTGTGTCCTCCCGAGGTGTTCCCGTGCCAAGGTGCTGATTCCCTGCGGCCGAGGCCAAAGAGGACATCGGAGCTGATATCACGGAACGTGGAGAATGATCATGAGTAAAGTGGGTGAATTTTGGACACATTCAAGCGAGCAGGCAAATCCATATCGGAATGTTTAAACAACCTCACCCGTGAGGTGCGCTCATAAACAAAATAGTGCACGTAGAAGAAATTATGCACGCTTCTCTTGTGTGTTTTTTTTTTTGTTTATTTAAAATAAATCAAAATTCAAGAAGAACTGTAAATAATAATACTTCCATCCCCACCCGGTACAGACCCGGTATCATTTCCCATCACACGGTATCAACTTTGATAATTAAAATTTTTATGTTCCTTGGGACCCATCTGCCCCGAGGCTGTTTAGGAGAGCAGCCGCAGCCGGGCAGGCACGGAAGGTCGGCGGATCCCACATCTTCCCCAGGGGCAGGCCTCCAGCCCCCGAGGTCACCGAAAAAATAAAATAAAAACTAGCTTTTCTGAAAAACCTCCTATTGAAACATTTCGATGCTGCACTGAAGAAAGAGAGGGTGAATTTCACCATCCGGCCGCACGCACAGTTAGGAATTTAAAATCTTTGCAAAACAAACCCTGTAGTGAAAAAGACATCAGCCAATATTATTATTATTATTATTATTATTATTATTATTATTATTATTATTATTATTATTCACTTTTACAGCGCCTGAAAATTGTCTAATTTCCTGTACTCTTGCAGAGCACATAAACCCGTGCTTTTACTTCACGTCAGTTTGGGCGGCAGATTCATGCAACCAGTTTTATAAAAAGCTGCGTCTTAGAGTGGGAATTCAGCAAAATACGTGGGGTTTTAGGGATCAACCCCATGGACAAGCTGCAGGCCCCAAATTTTATGCACTTTTTTCTTCCCAGCAACCCGAATGGAATCACTTTTATTTACAAAACTGCTCCTCATTTACCGAGGGGCTTTTTAAAATTCTAGTTTCGTTGCTGTTTGGGGTTTTGTTGATTTGTTTCGTTTAGGGTTGTTGTTGTTTTGTTTTGTTTTGTTTTGTTTCACCATGTACAGACTTTATATGACTGCTAGAAACAGATTATTTCTGGAGTTAGCTTTTCTAAAAAATAATTTTTATACAAATGCTCTTAACTGGTTTCAGTAACTATCGATGCATCCATCCCATTACGGGGCTCTCCTGCCCTTCGTTTTGCATAAAAGCAGAATGCGTTTTTAAAGGCTCCTCTCGCTTGCTTTCACGCTTCAGATATTTTGATGCCTCTATTTCGGCTGAGTAACTCGGAGAAAGATGACAGTTCCACCCGTGAAAATTTTATTACGAAAAAGGAAACGAGTTCACGTAGTGATTTAAAATCTTCCCGGGGGTGGGAATACTTTTACTCCGCTGATTCATCCCCGATTTGACGAGAAGAGTTTTGCTGAATTCCCGCAGCTCTCCCGCCTCCGACAGCCGTCCCGAGGAAAACAGAGAAACTCAAACTCCTCTCAAACTCCTCTCAAACTCCTCTCCTCCTGCATCCCTGGGGAAATATCGCAGCCGGGAGAATAGTGTGAATGCCGAGGGCAGCGCAGGCTGAGCAGGGCTCTCCCAGCCCGCTCTCGGTGTCCTGGGTCCTCTGTGCCCGGTCACATCCCGCTCTGCTGAAGGGACCGGGGTAACCTGGGGCCGCTCCGCAGCGCTGCTTGGATCAATTGAAAAATGAAGTGTTGTGGGTTTTTATTTTTTTAATTTTTTTTTGGTTGGTTTTATGTGTTTTTTTTTTTTTTTTTTTTTTGTTTTTTTTTTGTTTTTTTTTTTTTGTTTGTTTTTTTTCATTTGCATCAAAGCTCTCCATGGATTTTGAACACAACCAATTCGTTGTTTCCTCAGCATCACCGCTTCTAAAACTCTAATAAAATGTCCCTGTCTCTCCCATCGCGCCTGGCGATGCCCAGCTCCGGGGCAGGCGGTGCCCGGAGCGCTCCGGGGATGGAGCTGCCCAGGCTGCGGGGCTCTGCCCGTCCCACCCCGCTGCCGTGCGGGAACATCCCCCGCAGCCCCTGCCCTTCCCTCGGGGCCCGAGGAGGGGAGACAGGCACAGCCACCTCCCCCCACCCGCTCCCTCCTCACGGCACTTAATATTCAGGAAATCCACAAAGTGCTAGGAAGAGAGTGGAAAACGTGACATCAGGGGCTAATTGGGAAGGAGAGCTCGGGCTGAGGGAATAGCTCGGCCCTGAGTAATAAGTTATGTTTAATGGCTGGGTAAAGCTTCATCAGTGGCCGTTAAACACGTATCCCTCTAAAAATTATTTTCTGCAAACACCTGAACACCTGGCCTTGTCAGAAAGTCAGACTATGGCATTATCTTTCAGAGCCATGCTCAGAGGATCCGGTTTGGTTTGGGTGAGGGCTGCAGCCCCTTTATTCCCTGCCCCTCGAGGTCCAGCATCCATCCTCCTCCCTGCTACAAGCAGCTCTCACAAACTGGGTGTTCTCCATTTCTGTCCAATCATCCCTGAAACTACTATTGCCTGAATACATTTCATTTATATCCATTACAGCAGCCAGCAGGATGAGAAGCTCCCCAAATGTGCCACCTCTGTCCCCACCGCTGCCATCGGGTACCACACACCTGAGTGTTACACATGTACCCAACTGGGACACTTCCTCCCTGAATCCTCTCATTGTGCAGGGCCCCAAACCAGCACAAACAGTGAGGCACACGCCTTTTTACATAAAGGATTTTAATTTTTTATTTATTTGTTTTTACTTTCAGTTAGTTCACAGACAAGGGACGAAATGCCTGGAAATAGAAATCAGTAACCAGCCGCACACGTGATTAGATTTCAGGCCGGGCAGTATTTTTGGTACAGCCTCTTCTCTATGGATTGATTCCTGGCCATGAGGAGATCTGTAGGTTCAGAGCTCCTTCCCCAGCCCTGCCAGGAGGGTGGTGGCTGCCCCTAAAACCAGGGTCCCAGTTTGAGATGACTGCAGTGACACTTGAGATGAGTGCTTGGTGAGAGCTGTACCTCCGTCCTTCTCTGCCCAGGCCTGCTGTGGACGAGTGGTGCCATGGCCTGGGACTGTGGTCAGTGCCCAGCATCAAGGCCCCAGCCCACACCAAACCTGACCTGGCCACAAGCAGAGTGATGGCAGGAGCTGTGCAGGTGACATTGCAGATGACAAATGATGGGACACACATAAAAGGGCAGGTTAAACATCACTGCCCTGGTGCAGTGAATAACCATACTCCACCTGGAACAGCACATCTGGCTGAACCATTCATTTCTAGGTGATAAAAGAGTTTTAGGCAGAAAACAATGATTTGTCCTTATCACTCCTGTGTGAGCTGAAATCCAGCCAAGCCCTGCATCTGTGTGGAAATGAGGGATGCTTTGCTGACACCCCGTTAGCCTGGTGCTGTAAACACCCACTGCATGCTGAGGCTGCTCCCTGAGCACACGGCTGACTGCAACGGGACTGTTTATGGTTCATAAAACTAAGTTAATGACTACATCTGTGCAGAACTTGGGCCTTTGGTTTTTAAAAGGGAAGAAACAGAATGAAATCCTTACACCCTTCAGTTTTATGGTTTGCCTCCAGTCACTTCTGGTTGCCAGTTCCCGAGTGCTACATCAGATCTGGACGATTTGGGTTTATAGATCAGCAGGGAGATGTTTAAATCATTAAACACAATAATGGCCAATTGAAGCACTTTATTTAAAAAATAACAAGATGTTTTATACATATTAAAATCATATTAAAGCTGGCTTTCCTGTCCCTCACAAGCACCACTACAGGTAGTTAAACCACCTAAGTTAGGGAGCTAGTACCATAAAACAGCTCTCACTAAAGGCCAAACAATACAAAAGAATTAAGTGAACAAGGGTTCTTCCAAACCATTCCTCTCAGTGATTCTGCCATACCCACTAGGTCTTTTATTTTCCTTTCACACATGTACAGGGACCCTCACAAGGATTTAAGGCCCCTGACCCTGCAGCAGGTATTTTAAATTCTAAGGGAGAAACCCTTGCTGACACGGAAGCCACCAGAAGGAGATCTGCCATTCACTTGAGGTGAGATGAGACCTGAGTTTCACATTGCTTACACTGCAATCCTGTATCTGATATGGCGAATTTCTATTTACTGTGCTCAGAACTACATTTCAAACCCATATATGGCCACAGCTGCTTAAGAAGTTTAAACAATTTCCCTTTCCATACATATATTATGACACTTGCAAATTTTTGGACACTAATGCGACATTCCAAGACCCACTGATAG